AATGATTAAATAGGCCTACCATTTTATGAATAATTCCGAGCAAAAAATAAATAAAGTAAACACACAAGTTTACGCAGAAAATATCTCTATTTATTATGGCAGATGCCACTACGAATATTTTAATTTTGTAGATTTTCAGTATAAACAATTTATTGTTTGTAAAATTTGATAGATATTAAAGAAACATTGATAATTTTCAAACACTACATTCAAGTTTTTCCACCTTAAACGGTAAAATAATTATAGAAAATTAGAAATATCCCGTAATAGTTTTTTGTTCTTAATTAGGTGTAATTCGGACTAATTCCCCACATGTAAATCCGTAACGTACCGGCAAACGGTATTTAGCTAGGTTTTCGAAAAGGTCTATTAACCAATCATGTACGGTTTACAGATCACATGCTCCTCCATGTACCGAAAAATGGTCACGTGCTCCTCCATGCCTCAAAAGTTAAACGCGTACCAATACCCTGCAGGGAACAAAGCGTGAGTTTGCCATGTACATTACAAATGACGTTTTAACTATACCACTTAATAAAATTATGTTACGCGTTGACCTAGATATAGGCAAATCAAAACATTTTTAATCACGAAAAAATGATTTTTAAACATTTTCATAAATCATTTTCTTCACGCTGCAAACCAGATGTATAATTTTACAGTAGTGCGCACGAGAGGAAATAGTATGAATGGCGTACTCCACATTTATAACTTGCTACTTATACGTTATGTTATGCCTAAAACCATCATGGTGTTCGAAATGACGATTGCATGATTGAAGTTGTTTCAAACAAACTGTTTGACAGACTTTATCATGCATTCTACGCTTACCTTTTGCATAGTTGCTAGCAAGATGTGATTTTTTCCTGATGGATGATACAATGATAAGGCTTAATGGCTAAGATGTTTGTCCCAAAATTGTGGGTTCGAGCCCAACTCGACTATGTACCAGTACTGCTGCTGGTTAGTTCTCAGAAGCGGACTAATTAAGTGATTAATGTAAGTTGAAAGAACGTGTTTTAGCAATCGAGCATAAATAAATATGTTTAAACTAATAGCCCTGGATTCATTCTTTTTTGTTTAAGCAGCTAGAATTAAAAAAAACACACATCTTAGTGCAAAACGAATATAATCATGTTCTTGTTTACAGGGATATTGCAATACGATATACTCACGGAATATGTTTTGCGCTTATTTAGTGAAAAATTCGGTGAAATATTTTCATTATACATTTTTAAAATATTCGATGAAATATTTGTTTATTTTACACTTTAAATAATTCGTTGAAATATTTGTTTATTATACACTTGTGATGATGATAAAGATGATAATGCTGCTGATGATTGTGATGAAGATTGCGGTTGTGGTTTTTACGATTGTTTTAAAAAAACGGTATTAATTGTACAAAACGGACTTATTTAAGTAGAAAAAAATCATCATGTGACATAAACGTTCGTATTTTCATTTTTTATTCGCATTTTTGGTAAGTGACAAATACGTTTTGGTGAGCATAGAAAAACTAAATCCAACCGAAGATGGCACACTTTATGTTCCATTTTCAGCTGAAGAGTGTGCCATATATTCGGTATGTGACATATACGGTCGGATAGAGCTTATCTACTGTTTAAACGTACTTCGATGATCCGGAGTAACTAAGTTTTGTAATCTGAATTCAAATGATTTTCGATATTCCAGAGTTATTAGACGGCACGTGCACGCGCCGTCTAGTAGATATGCATTTGTCCGTTGGCAATGGGGAAAATATTAGACTTGATTTTGTGCATCTTTTTTGTTTTAACAAAATCAAATTGTTTTCAAATTTTCTAATCAAAATAGCTTTTCTGATGTAAAACATGTCACAGAGCTTTAAAGGATTAACATAAACGTTTAACAGAAGTGATAGTGCCATGTTTGAATATCATATTCTTTTTTATAATTATCTTATTTTATCTACCTTAATAGTCGATCGTTCTAAAACCCGTTGAGACCGTCCCGTCTATAATCTAATGACGGGCAGGACGGGCAGGGAACAAGAGGTATCACTAAAATATGCAACGGAGATTATTTTGGCGTAGCGGACACAGCGGAGATATTTTTTTGCAAAACAGGCAGAACGTGTGCGGCATGTTATTTATTTAAATAATTAACATTTAAGTTACAAAACAGATTAACTGAGTGAAAAAAGTACGCTTTGTTTAAAACGTATCACAAATATTTGCATAGTTTATTTTGAAGGATTCTGTGACCGACTAGATTTTTTTATAACATTTTGTGGTCCAATACCTAGATTCTAGGCGAATATGCAATCTTTTGTTTATTCTGTTATAAATCAGTAAACAATACGTAACAAAGAATTGATTACGTATATCAATTTATTCATAACTCTTATTTGATATTACAGACATATTTTCGCTATTTGTAAAATAACAGACAGTTCGTCCTCAAAACCATTCGAACATTATGCAATTCGCACCAATATTTAAATGGATATATTCTCGGCACATATTGTCTTGCATTTATTTTAAGTTTACCAATAATTTAAAATTCGGTCCAGTAATAAAAAAGTTAGATTTTTGGGATAAAGTGCAAATTTATTTATGGTCTATAAATTTGATATTACGGGCCTGTATATTTTGTTATACAATGCGTTCTGGAATGCAAGAAAATCGTGAAAGTAATGTTTCACGCTTTCTGCTAAGTGTAGCTATGCATATATATTGAACGATTTTTTAAAATCTTCTTTGGGGATGCCAGCCCGCATAGCTCAATCGGTTAGAGCGCGAGACTTGTAATCTCGACATTGTGGGTTCGATTCCCGGGCTGGCCAACTAAAATTACTTATCAGTCTTTCGGATGAGACTTTAAATCGAGGTCCCGTGTATGGGTGCTTAAACACTTGGCACGCTAAAGAACCAGGAGAAGCTTTTGGAATGGGGGCATCTTTCTGTATCTGTAATTGCACCATCCTCCAAAAATCTAAAATGACTAATACTCTTCTAGAGGACTCGCCCATATGGGCAAACCGGTGGCGAGTATAAATAAACGCAAATACACACAAATCTTCTTTGGAACTCACATTTAGACGTGTAAAGACGCACAAGGTCATTATGACAGACACATTTATTTTTGTGGTGTAAATTTTTAAGCTTGCGCAAGGTAAATTTTTCTTTTCTTGTTGTTTTATTTAGTAAATTTTTGTTATTTCAGAATATCGTAATTCAGTTAATTTTTCATTACATATTCGTTTTATAGAAATTTTATTTTGCATTTTGACAGTAATTTTTCGTCTGCTGTAGATTTATGACTCTTGTGTTTAATTCATTACTTGAATATTTGTCATTGATAGTTGTTGTATGTATGGAAGGTCGTTAACGCCTTGAGTGCACGTTATTTTATCATGCATATGTTTCATGTATATTTACTAAAATAAGTTTTCATGTTCTTGTTTAATACAGTAAGTCTTTTATAGTTAAGTTTGCTGCAGATGTTCTTTTTACATAATTCTTATTTCTTTAAGTAATTTTCATATCACATCATGTCAGATGTCACTGGGTGATAAAATGTTGTATAAACTTATACGAGTATTAAAGACACATTTATCTTATCATAGCATCAATATTTAGTTTAACTTTGTCATGTTGACAATCTTAAATGTTTTAAAGAAAAATAAAATATATCTTGATGTTTCTATGATGAATGAATGAATGAATGAGCTAATAAATGAATGAGCTAATAAATGAATGAATGAATGAGCTAATAAATAAATAAATAAATAAATGATCGAATGAATGAGCTAATAAATAAATAAATAAATAAATAAATAAATGAATGAATGATCGAATGAATGAGCTAATAAATAAATGAATGAATGAATGAATGATCGAATGAATGAGCTAATAAATAAATAAATGAATGAATGATCGAATGAATGAATGAGCTAATAAATAAATGAATGAATGATCGAATGAATGAGATAATAAATAAATGAATATACATGTATGTTTAAACAAATTGTATTCTGTCGAAAGTATATAAATGAGTCAATCACTTTGATAATTTAGTTAAATAAACAGAGTAATCTTATTATAGAAATTACACATATTATACACATTTAAATCATTATATTTTTGTTGCTTTATGCATGTTCTGTTGTTGTTATTTTTTCTTTTTCAGAAGGCCACATTGGAAATAAGATATTTATGATTGCTGTTTTATAAACCTTCACTAAATAAAGATATTATTATTAATGTTATTATTATTATTTTGATTTAATGTTTCATTTAATGCGTAAGGTGGGTCACTGATCATCTCCTCTAGTAAGCTTTTTTAAGTTTTTGCATTTATATAGTAAAATGCTGTTCAACGAATTCATCATTTTCTTGCCTATGTATAAGTTACAGAAGTCACAACGCTATCGGTCAAAAACATGATCTTCGTCACTGAACAATCGACATTTTCTATAGGGGTGGATTTGTTACTCCTCGAACATAGATATTTTATTTTGTCCAAAAACTCGTTTGGGTTTATTATTGTCATTTCTTCAATTTGTTCAGCCACTGAACGTCTATATACTCTTTCAATGTTTTATCAAATATATTTCTAGCTATGATAAAACTGTTTCGTTTTTTCCGCGAAAACGTATGTATTTTGATTACCTAATTACTCTAATTGCTTATTAAGAAATTCTTATGAAATTTCAAGGCTGGAGTTGTAGTTCAAAAGATAAGAGTAATCAAGAAAGTGGATATTGATACAACGTTAGTCTACACAATTCTTCTTTAACAAGAAGGCTCTTTCTGGACTGTAACCGTAAGGATATGTTCAGTCTTGCAAGAATGCATCATATACATTAAATGTAGATATCTTCGCTTTTTTCACTTAAATGAAATGGCCAAAATGTATGAGTGATTAATTGCAATCATATGTATGTAGTGCTATTTCAAACTGACCTGTAATGACTACAGCTGAAAAACTTTAATATTCTGAAAAAAATAATATTTGGTGGCCATCTTGGATTTTGGCTGCCATCTTGAATTTGCAAAACTGAATATAAATTTGTGTAATATAATGAATTGGTGCTATTTCATACTGTTCTAGTAATGACTACAGCTGAAATACCCAAATATTCTGAAACTTTTAGTATGTGGTGGCCATATTGGATTTTGGCGGCCATATTGGATTTTTAAAAAGTGGATACCAGACTGAAATGTCACCATGTCAAGTTTCATGCTTTTCACAAGAGGTACACAATTCACCCAATTTCATGCACGGATTTCCTGCACGAGTACAATATATTTCGAAATTTTTGTTCATTTGTATAAGGTTCTTTCTTATTGTATTTTAAAAGCTAATGCAATAATAATTCTTTCTCGGAAAAATCGTGGAGTGACAACTTATATTATTGCTTCGTTTTTTTTCCATATTAATTTACAAAACAGATTATTTGCTTTTTCCTTGAAACAACCATTTTAAACTAAATGGGATTTTCATAAAATCCCAAAGAATGAATGGCTGCAAAAAGGACAAGGGGCGTGTCAAAACAATTCATGTCCGCCTATTTTAACTTCATATATTTTGTCAAAAATAGGTTTTGGTTTTTAAAAGGTGTAACACGAAACAATTATTATGCTTCATTTTCCATTCATTAAAAAATTGGAAGTGAGTACTATGCATCCATTTTGAAGCAAAATAAAAAATAAACAAAGTAGACTTTGCTACGAGGACACCACATTGTCTAACACAACTGTACAATTTTATAGAATCTGTTTGTGAACTTTTGCTGACTAAAAGTTTGTAAGTTTATTCTATTGATCTCATTGTTCGTCTGTTAAGGGCTGATTTTGTTATGACATCGCCACCTTTTTGCAAAGGATCAAGTCGGTGTTTCCTAGGAGTTAAAAATGGTTTTGTTTCCCATTTGTCTTCTTGAAATGTTTCTTCAATATTGTGTCTCTTTTTAAATCTTTCGGTGTACGAACCTCTACCCATGGTGAATCTTGAATGTGGTATGATAGAGCTCACCTGACAATGGTATCGGAAATAAAATAATTTGAGACAAGATTTTAATTTAATGCATCATATTCCTAAAATAAATGAGTGATATTAGTTGATTAAAATGTTTTCACATCCGAAGTACAAAATATATTTCACGTTGACTCACAGGAAGTTCCATGCTAAGAGCTACGAGGGATGATTCTGATTAACGTAATTTATATAATAGTAGTAATCCGATAAACTTGAATTTGCCAAATTATTAAAAAAAAAAAGAAATCGTAGGCTAAGAAATGATTTAAAACTTTTTACTTAATCACGGGAACACGAGTAACTTACTTGTGCATTAGTTTGAAGAGTTGGTGATATAACGGCAAGTCGTGGTTTTTGCCGAGGTTTATTCTTCAGATATTTTCTAGCCTTTTCTTCTGCAATTGCTTTCTCTTTCAGTAAATCTGGTGTATTCAATTGTATAGCCTTTATTATCTGAAAGAATTTCAAATCAAAATTATTGAATAAATCAAAGAATTATAACAATTTAACAAGCTGAAAATACTGAGTATGATTGATGTGAAATTACAAACCAGACACGAAATATACCATGTCACAGATCATAGTCTTTATTGATTTGTATTTGTGACATTTTGTGGTTTTGAAACAGTGATAACAACTATACAAATGTATCAAATGTATTTTTATTGACACACACGCACACACACACGTACACAAACACGCACGCACACACGCACGCACGCACACACACAGACTCGCACACACGCACGAACGCACACACACATGAGTTATTTCATTTTAATTCTATAATGAATTTATTGTTACATTCGAGACCTAGTATTGATCAAGACTTTGCACTGACAGTCCGGATCTTTTGAAATTCGTGTAAATCCTCCCTTAGGCGGGGATCGTAGGTAACTCTGTTATAAATGCTTGTCCTTTTTTCAAGAATTTTCAAAATTATTCTTTCTCTGGTTGTGGTCTTTGGACAGTGGGCGTATATAATTTTTAAATAAATACCTATCTTAGTGGGTACCGTTACCAAACCAGGGGTGTGTGTGTGTGTGGGGGGGGGGTGTCATACTATGCGCGCTCATCCTCAAAATTCTGATTCCGCGAACACTTTTTCAACCGGTATTTTGAACAAAAACGAGTCATATAAAGTAATCAAAATAGATTTGAATTTAATTTCTTTTGCAAAGAATATGTCCTTACTTCTTGTTTTAATATTCCAAATGCCTTGACACAAGTCTTCCATTTCTCGTCAGTATTTAGCGTTGAATGCGATTTTGATTCTGGATACTGCATATACCAGCGTTGAAATGTTACAGAAATTGAGAAATTGTCGATAAAACAACTGGAAGTTAGTTTATTATAGAACATGTTTCATAAATATAATCTTTGTTATGTTTTCCTTTGTACGAAAAATATCTTAAAACGAACTATTTACAAGAAATAAGCATTATGATACTGCGTACACTCTCAAAAATCAAGATACTGCGTACACATTTATATGTTATTGATTCTGCCTACACTTTCTTCGAATCAATCTAAGTTCATGATGTGATCAAATGGATAACACTGGCGAACAAAAAATAATAAAAAGATAATTAAAAAAAAAAAAAAAAAGATTTAAATCAGGTACATGTAATAAATTATGCCCCCTTAAAATGTTCATCCTAAAAAAGGTTTGAGTTTAATATTTTTCATTAAATTTGACTCATTTATGTAAAACTCTGCACTGCATTTTAAAATAACTTTTTATAGTCAAATTTATAGCTCATTTAAAGAAATAAATGTATGCCTATTTGTCGCGAATACTTCTCGAGACAACATGAAGGACGATCGACATCGTAAAGATGGTCCTTACAACTGTGACCTTTAAATAGGCATGTGTTTTTTTTTCTTTTCTGGGTATTATTACTTGAAATACATATCCGAAACGTCATAACTCAAAACGCAAGTTTGAACGCCATTGTGGAAAATGAGAATAAAAAGAGAAATATTGCCCATCAATTTCGTATTCACGATCTCTTAATGCTTTAATATGCACTGGCAAACCTCGTGCACCTATTATTTATAAAAAAATAGGGATGGCAACGAGTAACCGGTTAACCGAGTACTCGATCGAACGTCCGAATATCGGTTAACAAAATTGATATTCGATTACTCGGAAAAAATATATAATTTTTTAACGATTTAGAAAGATTGGTGTGTCCAATTAGTTCAGAAATTCGGAGATGTGCATGTATCTTCATAAATACCTGTTCAATGCAATCAAAACATCCTTGCAGAGGTGCGAAAAGTATATCATAAATTTAACGAGGCGATCAACAGTTTGACACGCGCACCTGTGTCGCTTATGTCATCCAGCTCTTATGATATTCAATTACCTTTAATTGTGTAACAGTTTGTAGCGGAAGTAACTGTTTTGAAAACAACAAAGGGCCGATTGCTATTATGAATGTGAGAATAAAGGTAACAAGTATTTAGACCCCTTTTAAACTTTTCTTGCCGCCGATCAGTCTATATTATTTCAAGACGAAAAAATATATATATGAACTGTGATACATGTTTAAAACTTGATATTGCATTAATTAAAACGTTGTAAAATATAATGTTGTTGAATTTATTTTAATTAATTTGTCTCCTGTGAAGTTCTATTTATAGTTACGAATTCTATGAATTTAAATAGAAAACGAAAGTAGCATGTGGATGGTGTTGATACTGTGAGATAAACTTTGAAGATCACTAGAAATCATCTGAGTAACCGAGTACTCGATCGGAAAAATGACCGAGTACTCGAGTATTGATTTTTGTATTCGTTGCCATCCCTATAAAAAAACTATTCTAAACTATTGTTTAATGTTTAATCTTTCACATAACATAAAGTTGTTTATGAAGTTGTTCATTACCGATATTATATATCCTTTCTTTATAACTTTTGCCCTATGCAGAATGCCTATGCACGAAATGCAACAAACGATTCTATGGAGAATTCGTATCGTAAAACGGCCTTCATGCTCTTAGGCAAACAAGTTGTTTAGCTCGTATGATTAGAATCTTGTATAAAGTAAGGTGAGAAAATAAATTTCAGGGGGTTAAACAAGTATAACACAGAGCAAACAAAATCAAGATGTTTTTCCATTCTAACACGTCAAGAAAACTAAAGTTGAACTCTCGCCTCAGTGTTTCTAATATTAACGTTCTTTAAAGGCTTTTTTAATCGGTTGATGCACTCATTCAATATACTTAATATGGTATTTTGACGCGACCTAATATTAACACGACCGTGCAATGCCATTTTTACGGAGAGGCAAAAGCGACACGGGTATGTTATAAAAATGAAAGATTAATACTGAATTTCTTGAACGAATTGAATGAAATTTTATTATGCGAGCCTCAAGCAAGCATATTATTTTATTCAACGAGTTCAATAAATTTAGTATTAAACTTACACGACTTTAATATTCTATATTTATCATATACCAAAAATAAAGACCTTTTGAAGCGAAAAAGAACCATTTTTCATTTACGCGCCTATATTATAATGCTAACATTAAGCGCGTCTAAACATTCAGTTCATATAACGAAAATGACGTCACGTCAAAATATATGCATGACCTTGCAATACCATTTTACGGAGATGCGAAATAGCAAGGGTATGCGATATTGAATGAGTGCATCAACAGATTAAGTAATAGAAAGAGCATCGAAACACGAGGCTCTCTGATTTGTATGAGGGGGCGTAGCCCCCTAGTATTAATCAGATTGCCGAGTGTTTTGATGTTCTTTTTCTTTTGTATCGTAGTCAAATATACATGTTCCTTGTTGTTACAATATGAAATCCCAGAAAAAAAGGAACCAATAAACGAGCATCTGCATATAATGTTTCTATCGCTTTCCCTTTCTCTGCTGTCATAATTTGTAAACCCCAGCAAAAATGAGCCAATCAAAGGGCATGCTCTGTGCATGTATATGTATACGATTTAACTCATTTTTAACAGAAAGGTCCCCAAATTATGATACAAAAAGCCTTTACAGAACGTTTATATTAGAAACACTAAGGCGAGAACAAATTTAACCACCACCAATATAGTCCAACAAGAGTTTTTCTTGACGTATTAGAATTGAAAAACATCTTAATTTTGTTTGCTCTGTGTTATACATATAGCACGATATGTCGTTCGGATGTCCGTAGGCATACGGCCTTTGTGATTATATTACTGCACATCAACATTTTTAAGGCAGCATACTTTATCACAGGATTTGAGTCTTATTTTTTAATTTTTATTTAAATTTTACTTTGTTTTTGTTCGCCATTTTCTTCGAAGAAAGTGTTGGCAGAACCAATAACACATACATTTGTAAGCAGTATCGAGATTTTTTGAAGTTGTACGCAGTATCATAATGTCTATTTCCTGTAAAAAGTTCGTTTTAAGACATTTTTTGTACAAAGACAAATAACAAAGATTGAAATTTATATTTATGAAACATGTTCTACAATAAACTAACTTCCAGCTGGCTGTATGAAATTCAGTTAAATCGACAGTTTCAACGCCGGTGTACGCAGTATCCAGAATCAAATTCGCATTCAACGCGAAATACTGACGAGAAAGGGAAGACTTGTGTCAAGTCATTTGGAATGTTAAAACAGGAAGTAAGGACATCTTCTTTGCAAAAGAAATTAAATTCAAATCTATTCTGATTGCTATACTTGACTCGTTTTTGTTCAAAATACCGGTTGAAAAAGTGTTCTCGGTATCAGAATTTTGAGGATGCTCGCGCATGACACATTGCAAATGTTTCATCAATGTTGCCCATAGATTTAGAGGGATAACATCACTATTTTATGAAAAAATAGACTCAATTTCACCAACCTTGCTTTCTCGGAGTCTTTCTATAGCTTGCGAAAAAGCAGATCTCCATACAGCGTAATAAAATTTATGTTCGTTGGTCAGTTGTTTTTCTCTTCGCGCCCGTTCTGTGTATGTTTGCTGTTGTGTTTGCACAGGAGAATGGCTAGGTATATTTGAAGTAGAAATTGATCGAGTGACTAACCCTTTCAGTACTTCAGGTTTGTTATTCTTGAAGTCTTTTTGGACTTTGCCGAAGTCAACGCGAACGGAATTTACACGGGCTAATGCGAATGTATTTGGATTTGGTTCGTCTGTATTTGTAGCTTTCTTTAGATAATACTTTGGATCTAATAAACGGCTCTCCTGAAATTAAATGTATAATATTTCAGTTTAACAGGCATGCAGGAACTTGTCGTACATTTAGATCTAAAGACAAATTTAAATGTATCAAAATACTATGTATTTGTTTAGAAATATTAAGCTATAGAAATGAAATTAGTATTTTTTACAATGATAACTATGGAGTACAAATGTTGGCTAATACTTGTGAACATTGTAGTACTGTTTGAACACAAGATAATATAACACTGAAATATTCTTACTACATGCTTATATTGCCTCTGCTGATTTGATCTAGATCTGGGTTCAACGGACGTTCTCTCATTTATGTTCATCAAGTCATCATGAATTATTCTAAAATGGGTTTTAAACTCTGTTTGATGGAGATACTGAAATATGACAACAGTAACGATATTTCAATACCAGTAATGTTATCTATACGATGAACTTTATATACGTTTGTATATTATTGATACCTGTATGGGTGTTTTAAGTAAAGTGGTTATTCATTCATAAAGTGCAATAATTGCATAGGAAATGTGTATGTATGTTAAATTCATAAATGAGATATATCTACCTTCAAAGTTTCGTGTTGATACCTGTTATTGTTTCCGAGTTATATCCCTGTTTAAAATGTAAAAATTAACAAGGACAATCACTCCAAAATAAGGCAAGGTAGAGTTACGTTTCTTGTGCACTGCACATCTACCTTTTGAGATTTATCTACCTACAAAGTTTCTTGTTGAAATTTCTTATTAATATAGAGTCATGTAACGGACAAGATTTTTCTTAAAGGGGAGATAATTCAATTACAGGGTAAAATAAAGTTATGGTTCTTTTGCAATGCACTTCTTCCCAATGAGATCTATCGACCTACAAAGTTTCATGTTGATATCTTTGATAATTTTAGAGAAATATCCCGGACACAATTCAAAGTGTACAAATGATTAAATGGAAATAACTCCAAAATTTGGCAAAGCAAAGTTATGGTTCTTATGCATTGCACAACTACTCATTGAGATCTATCTACTTACAAAGTTTCATGTTGATATCTCTTATAATGATAGAGTATTGTATCGGGCAAGATTTTTCTAAAAGGGGAGATAATTCAAAAATGGGGCTATACAGAGTTATAGTTCTTTTGAAATGCACTTTTACCCAATGAGATTTATCTACCTACAAAGTTTCATGTTTATATCTCTTATAATGTTTGAGTTATGTTCCGGACAAAGTTCAAAGTGTAAAAAATGAACAAAGGGCAATCCACCAAAATTAGGTATGACAAAGTTACGTTTTTTGTGCACTGCACAACTACACATTGAGACCTATCTACCTACAAACGTTTGATGATAATATCTCTTATAGTTTTAGAGTTATGTCACGGATAAGATTTTTCTAAAAGGGTAGATAATTCAAAAAATGGGGCAAAATAGAGTTATGGTTCTTTGACACTGCACTCTGCCTTGATGTCCTCTACCACTGTGTGAAGTTTAAACAAATTATTTAAACTCATTGAGTAAATCCAATTGTCTAACGGTCAAGACAGTCGTCACCTTTCAGTAAAGTGTTATTCAGATTATAAAGTAAGCGTCGAGTGAACTCAGGAAAGTTGAGAATCTGTGAGATTAGGAGGGGCTATCTTGAGGTGTCCTCAATAAAATAATACTGAATACCACTTAGTTTTGAGTATCGAGTCCCATATACATTTTAGTGCATCATAAACGCGCTCTGACACTACTTGAGGAAATAAATGTTGAAAAGCAGAAACTTAGGGACAGAGATGATCCCATTAAATTTATGCCAGAAGTTGAATTGAATTTGACCAGAACAACATCTCAGCTTGATCAAGTTGAAAGACGGCTGAACCTTCATTATTTAGAGTTTACAAAACTCCAACTATACCACAGTATTGAAGATAATGCCCGTAGCCGGAGGAACAATTTGATTTTCTATGGATTAGCGGACATGCGAAATGAGAATTGCCTTGAAGTGTTAACGGAGTTTTTGTCTGACTGGCTTGGCACTGATCTCGAGAGAATGTACATTCAACGTGTTCACCGTCTCGGACTGTGCGAGGTCAAGATGGAGTAACGCGTAGACCGATTATTGCGTGTTTTCGGGATTATCCTGACACTTAATTGATAATGAAAAGAGTCAATTGGTTATCTGGATCCCGTTACGGGATCGATAGGAACTACCCTTAAGAGACTTCTATTGCCAGAAATCGTCTTTACAAATAAATGAAGTCAAACTATGAGCACTCCGAGAAACGTAAAATAGCGTATCCGGCAAAGTTGATTGTCAAGGGTAAAGTAGTGCGTGGTGAATTTCCTGACTGGCACGCTGTACTGAACAGAAACCGAATTGACATTATAAATGACTTGTTTGCAAAGAAAGATATTTACTTACAATCTACAGTGATAGACGACAGGGTTGATACGCCTAATTGTACAACACCCGTCACGCATGAACCCACCGCTCCGCATGAAATCGGCGTATCCCATAAACATCCAGATAAACATGATCACTCGGTTAACAATGGACCCCCCATTTACTATGGACCAACAATTAACCCAGGGCCTCACGCTAACTATGGTAAATCTGTATATAGTGATACTCCCGTTGAACCTGTAACACCTGTGAACGATGCCGCCGCTGAGAAGGGTTCCCCAACAAGAGCGAACCATGCGGCTCTTCACCATTCAAGCTCGTCATTTCATGGGGATTTTCCCCCACTTTCGAAAGAATTACAGATTAATAGTGCATGCAGCGCGTACCACTGTTAAAGAAAGATCTTCAACTTAGGACCACGGGGAGAGACATTCTGATTCGTTGAACTTTGTGCTAATAAATATTCAGGGATTAGTGACTAAAAACGTAAATAAACTTGAACAACAAGATTTAGTCGACATTTTCAATTCAAATTATTTCATATTTATTGTAGAGACATGGGCAAATTGTTTAATTAATTTAGAAAAACCTGGGTTTAAACTATTTTCTGTACATAGAAAAGAAAGAAATACTAATGCAAAAAGAGACTCTGTTGGTATATGTTGCTATATTTTGAATCTGATCATGACTTGTTTGTGTTTTACCTCAGGGAAGTTGTAGAGAACATTTAATAGAAATCCCGGTTTTTAAGAGAAATGTCAAAGCTGTCGCATGAGTCTGGTGATAATTGCAATTTTCTCGTGCTTGGAGACATGAACAGTCGAGTTGGGTCTTTAAAAGATTTTGTAGAACATGACGATGTTGATCGGTATTTTTCTGAATCATTGCCTGATGATTATATAACTGATGTTTATATGGATAGGTTGACAACCGATACCGGCGTTAATAGAAATGGGCGTCTTTTAATTGATTTTTGTAAAGCTAGTGGCCTGCGCATAATGAACGGTAGAATATGTGGCGAAAAAAGGCCTGTGTACATATAACGGACAATCAGCGAGGAGTTTAAATGGGATAAATAATGTAAATAATTTGAGTGCAGAGGAGGGCACATATGCAGATAAAGTGTCATTTAAATACAAATGGAATAAATCTAAGTTAAATATTTATAAAGAAAGTCTTCAGTCTGAAACTTTTCTTGAATCTATTAACAGGCTTGTAACGGAGTTAGATAATAATGATACTTCTTCTTGTATAGATAGTAGTCTTAACTATTTCTCTCAGGTCATGCATACTGTTTGGCAAAAACGTTTTGAAACGAAAAAAGCAGACGAATGAAAATGCATGGTATGACATAGAATGTAAAATTGCTAAAAATGATTTTTATGTCTGTCAAAACAGATTTAAATATAATGAATCTGATGAAAATTTAAAAGATTTGTGTGAGGCTAGGCAAAACTATAAAAAAAACTTATTAGAAGCAAAAAATATTAATCTCGAAGAGAAACACTGATAAACTGTTAAATGCAAGAGTTAACAAGAGCCACCGCCTGGCGGGAGCAACGCTCGACTTTTTACTTTCTCTAAAAGCAAACAAAGAAATGTTTGAACAAAATATTAACGTTTCCTTTTTTATAAAATTAATCATTCTGTTTTGTCACATTAGTTTTGTCTATATATTATATATATATAAATTTACTAATTTATATATATATAAATAGAGACACCCAATTCGAAGTCACATGGTGGTGTCACGTGGTGGTGTCACATTGTGGAGTCACATGGTAGAGTCACGTGGTGGAGTCACGTGGTGGAGTCATGTGGTGGAGTCACGTGGTGGTGTCACGTGGTGGAGTCCAGTGGTGAAGTCACATGGTGTAGTCACATGGTGGATTCACGTGGTGAAGTCACGTGGTGGAGTCACGTGGTGGAGTCACGTGGTGAAGTCACGTGGTGGAGTCATGTGGTAGAGTCACATGGTGGGGTCACGTGGAAGTCACGTGGTGGAGTCACGTGTTGGTGTCACGTGGTAGTAACGTGGTGAAGTCACGTGTTGAAGTCACGTGGTGGAATCACGTGGCAGTGTCACGTGGTGGTGTCATATAGTAATGTGGTGGAGTCACGTCGTGAAGTCACGTGGTGTAGTCAAGTGGTGGAATCACGTGGTATAGTCACGTGGTGGAGTCACGTGGAGGAGTCACGTGGTGTAGTCAATTGGTGGTGTCACGTGGTAGTAACGTGGTGGAGTAACTGTGGTGGAATCACGTGGTAGAGTCACGTTTTGAAGTCACGTGGTAGTAACGTGGTGGAGTCACGTGGTAGTAACGTGGTGGAGTCACGTGGTGTAGTCAATTGGTGGTGTCACGTGGTGGTGTCACGTAGTGGAGTCACGTGGTGAAGTCATGTGGTGGAGATACGTGGTGGAGACACGTGGTGGAGTCACGTGGTGGAGTCACGTTGTGAAGTCATGTGGTGGAGTCACGTGGTGAAGTCACGATAAACAACAAGGTCTTGTCTTTAAGTATGTTCTGTTATAATATGAAGTTGATCCCTTCAATAATAGCAAAGTAACAGCCAGTTACAGCCAAAACAAAGTCAATGTCAAGGTCTGTCGGGTTATTTTTAAGGGTTATCCTTGAAGATTATTATGTTCAAGTTTGAAGACAATCCATTCAAAAATAACAAAGTTACAGCCAATAACAGCCAATAACAGCCAAAAACATGAAAATTTCAATAATTTGACCTTCAAAGCCAAGGGCATTTATGAGTGAAGGTCAAGGTCTGTCGGGTTATTTTTAAGGGTTATCCTTGAAGATTATTATGTTCAAGTTTGAAGACAGTCCATTCAAAAATAACAAAGTTACAGCCAATAATAGCCAAAAACATGAAAATTTCAATAATTTGACCTTCAAAGTCAAGGTCATTTATGAGTGAAGGTCAAGGTCTGTCAGGTTATTTTTAAGGGATATCCTTGAAGATTATTATGTTCAAGTTTGAAGACAATCCATTCAAAAATAACAAAGTTACAGCCAATAACAGCATGAACAAGCAAAATTTGGACTTTTAACCTTGAAGGTCAAGGTCATTTATGGATGAAGGTCAAGGTTAGTGTGGTCTACTAAAAGGTCTTGTCCCAAGGGTTGTTGTGGCCAAGTATGAAGACAATACACCAAGAAATAAAAAAGTAATGATCCAGGTACAAGTTTGCCGACGGCAACGGCAACGGCAACGCCGCCGCGACTATAACAATACCTCTACTTCTTTTTCTGTGTGTTGCCAGATACACAAAAGCTTGTCCGGACTACTCCTCATAAACTACTGGTGCAATTTCATCCAAACTTTACAGGAATGATCAGTACCAAGTCTAATTGTGCATATTGTCAGCATTTTCCGGTTCAATGATTTTTGTCAGAGTTATGGCCCTTTAATAATTTTTATTTTTAAAGTTTGTCCGGACTACTTCTCTTATACCACTAATGCAATTTCAATGAAACTTTACAGGACTGATCTGTAGCTCAAGTCCTTGCACGGGTTTTATGGTTGAATTATTTTTGGCCGAGTAATGGCCCTTTGATAAAAAGGTGTTTTTTTTCTGTGTGTTGCCAGATACGCAAAAGCTTGTCCGGACTACTCCTCATAAACTACTGGTGCAATTTCATCCAAACTTTACAGGAATGATCAGTACCAAGTCTAGTTGTGCACTGTCCGTCTGTCTGTCCGTTTGTCACAAAACTTGTCCCAACATGAAATTGGCCATCATGAGGCGACACATGTGATTACTGATCGGTCCTGTTTTTAGCATGTATCTGAAAGGAGTCGAGGGCATAGATACTGGTATTTTTAAGATATGTTTATTACTGTATGCGGACGATATAACTATTTTCTCTAAAACGGCTGAAGGTTTACAATATGCCTTGAACATCTTATCTGAATATTGTGATAGTCCATCTATCACAGGATTTAAATACCCGAATCAGTAATTCTTCCAGAGCAATATTTTACCACACTTTCAATGATTACAGTTTTAGTAGATATTTGGATATTGTTGATATAAAAAAGTATAGAATAGCTGTCACGTTTAAGAATGTCTTCTCATCGTCTATAAATAGAGGTGGGTAGATGGAGAAAACCCCACAGTGTACCTTTAATTGATAGAGTATGTGTAGCATGTAATCAATTAGAGGACGAGTTCCATTTTGTCATTATATGGAACTCCGAACAAGATTTTTGAAGAAATATTACTGGAGGTCTCCTAGCATGTTTAAATTTGTTCAGTTGATTACAAGCGATGTACATGATATTAGAAATTTAGCTATGTTTATATACCATGCCTTCAATATTAGACAACAGTTACAAACAATTCTCGTGTAAAGGTACATAAATGTTTAATTTAAAGGTCTATATATATATATGTTTTATGCGAATATCTTGCCCCATGCAAACGTACCTAGAAGTTAATTGACACATTGTATTGTACTTCTATATATGTAATGTACGAATATTAGCTGTCATGTAATTGGTAATAGAAAGAGCACCGAAACACGAGGTTATCTGATTTGTACGAGGGGGCGTAGCCCCCCGAGTATTAATCAGATTACCGAGTGTTTTGGTGTTCTTTCTCTTTTGTATCATAGTCAAACATAAAAACACGTTCCCTGTTGTTACAATATGAAACCCCGGCAAAAATGAACCAATGAACGAGCATCTAAATATGACATTTCTGTCGATTTCACTTTCACTGCCGTCACAATATGTAAACCCCAGCAAAAATGAGCCAATCAATGGGCATGCTCTGGAGTGCGGGTAACTAATACCCGCACTCCAGTTAACGCACTGTGCATGTATATGTATACGATTTAACCCTGACACATTTTCAACAGAAAGGCCTCCAAACTATGATACAATATATAGATGTATTATTGATACATTGCAATTCTTTGTGTATTATATGTATAATAGGTTAAGTAACACGATGATTATAAAGGCTATAAATTTGTAAGTTTCAACTCATACACTGGTCTTACTTGTATCAAGTTTGAAGCATTATATGCGTTCAAAAGTACAGTTTAGAAGTAATATTTGTTTTGTTGTGTTTGTATAATTTCAATATTTTGTACCATATTACTATTGTTCAAAATTTTGTGCCATATTACTATTGCAATAAATCAAAACCATATAGCTTAGATTAGTAAATGTACTACAAAGACCAGAGTATGGCAGATAATTTAAAGTATACTATGTAATAGATGCTGACAATGTCTCTCCCGTGATTGCAAGTGTAATACATACACGAAGTATTTCTTATTATTATATATTTGAATGTAGAATCTCTCAAAAAGTAAATAACTTGTAAATTAAATATATAATCAATGGTAACCATTAATAATGAAAGAAAAGAAATACTTGCAGTCACGTCATCTTGCTATGTAATTAGTTATTTACTATTGCATACATGTAATAATTTATTGTATATATCATGAATGCTTGTACATGACTCTTTTGAGAGTAAATTTGCAAAATAAAGATTCTTCTTCTTCTTCAGCGTATAAACTGTATATAATATTTCACATTTTTGGAGTATAGAATCCATCACTTTCGCGATTTGTTTTACAATTTACATCTGATATAAAATTGAAAAATAAATCGCGAAAGTTATTGGCACGTCGAGGGAATAGTTTTGTAACATATACACTGCAAAACACGTATTTTCAAACAAAAACGCTCTAAACGAAGAAAACAAGAGCCTAAGGAACACCTCAGAATGCATCAGTTCTGTAAGTCGGTTGGAAGATATTAAAACAAACCTGAACAATAACAATCAACAAAATTATGCGATTTAAGGGCTTTACCTTACTTGTGTCCTGCTCATTGGCCTCATTAAGACTCATCATACTGCCTTGGAGGGAAGTATCTTGACTCAGTGATTTGTTCTTTCTCTGCAGGTACTTCATCCTTGTCGTCGACATGGGCAGCCGTCTACCGGGTCTTTTCACCACTCTGCCCCCGACCGGGATCTGCCTACTGAATTGATCATACTGCTCATTATCATATTGACTGGCTATCTCGTCCATATCAGGTATGTGTTCCATTTCTCTCTCACTTTCCTCAATATCAGTTCTACAAGGATATCCAAAAAATCGTTGCTCGTTTCTTTTACAGAAAACGAGCAATAATGCAGCTGATGATTAACAGTTATTAATGTATGATTGTTCTCTCTAATGTATATTTAAAGCAACATAATAATTACAATGGTTATTGGTATGTATCGTTGTCGTTATTTAGTTGTTCGTCGTTGAAAGACGAAGAAATTAAATGCAACTGAACTCAACAAAAGTGTATGTTTATCGTACTCATTATTACGATTACATTACCTTTCATTTGCTTTTTCATAAAACAAATCCACAGTTTCTCCATCATTAATATTACACTGATGGAACATGTTTCACCTTTATATTTGCCTAGCGTATACGGTAGTTCTAATTTTCAATATTTTCATTACATACAAACGGTAATTTACCAATAAATCCGTATATATAATTCACAAGGTAGCCATGAAAATCAATAGAAGATGTGAAAGTTATGATAATTACCGCCGCTCCAGTCCTTCCTGTTGCACAGACTCTTCTTCCTCACGCGCAGTATCCCGCGCAATTTCATCACGCTTGATTGCTTCAATTTTTTCTCTCTGAAGCAAAATTGGGGGCAAACTTCTAAACAATTTTTTCAAAAATTAAATAAAAACTTTATTCACAGTTAAATTTATTCACATTTAATAAAATAGTTATCTTAGGATATTGAAACTTTTTTTTCTAAACGTGAATGCATTTGTACGACAATGGATTACTAGTGTTTTTGCTGTTAATAATAACTACTAGTATGTACACTATTAAAAATAAGTGCTTTGTTAATGATTAAGGTTAGTAGTACATGCGCCACTTGAGCCCCAAGACTGCACACGTGCAGCAGCACGACTGCACACGTGCGGCAGCACGACTGCACACGTGCGGCGGCCATCTTGTTTCCATATATAGTAATATATTTGCATATAATGCGAATATCGGTACATGAGCGGCGGTTATTTTATTGACTTATTTTTTAATCTCCCATCGATGCACAGGTCCTAGATAAATTATTTATATGGTATATGTGACATGAAATATACTTTTACCCGTTATTTTACACAAATGAACGCCATTTACATATAACGGAATAAGCCAACAAACCCAACAGTCATTTGGAGGTTCTAGTTTTAATATACAAATGTAATCTTTTAACATAGGCACACATGCGGCGGTTATTTTATTGACTTATTTTTTTAATCTTTCTCAAATCTCAAACAAATGACTCCAAAATGTACAATCAATTAAAGCGCATACACATATTGATCAATTAGGAGAGACCTTGTTGTTTCTTAAAATAACGTCCAATCAGAAATCAAAAAGCGCGAATATAATTGAATACTTTACGAAGCTTAGGTATACACAAAATGAACGTTACTGATTGCGCACCCCTTAACGGGAGTATGGAATATTACGAAAATAGACTAAAACGTTTGACTCCTATCCGAAACAAATCTTACCCGATAAATACGAACTGGCAAGCGCCGGATTGTATTATAGCGGGAAATCAGACATGTGCGAGTGTTTTAGATGTCACATTAAATTAAGTGAATGGGTAAGATCAGACAACGCTTTGAGAGAACATTACAAGTGGTCGCCCAATTGCGAGTATATTAAAATAGTAGGCGCTCCTCAACAGAAACCAACCCCAATAGGCGGATTTGGCGCGTTTGTATCAACAACTTGGTCAGCACCTTGCGGATTTGGAGGATTTAGTTCGTCTACTACTGGAGCAAATTTGTTTGTTAATAATAAGGCTAGCACGACCCACCAGACACATTGAATATGTTAACATTTGTATACATGACTTGGACTTGGCTAAGATACTATCAATTTAGACGAGAAAATCGCGAAGCCGTAGAACATTTACTCGACATTTTAGAACGTTATATAGATGAAACCAGAACACATTCTTTGTACTCGACTGTATTGTAATATGTTTTGGATTAATTTGTAATAACATGAAAGCCCATTTTGTAAAATGATATATAACTTTGTCATTATATATGCTACCATATAGGAAATAAACATGTATGACTTAAAGCAGTATTTGTTTTCTTATTTTTTGATCAATTACATTTACATGGGATCATTATATATAACAAGGCAATATTTTTCTTTACAAACTTTTTATTGGGTACCTTAATATTTATTATACATGAAACTAAAATAAGATCGGATAAAATCGTTATTTCATTTCCTGCAATGCGCATCAAAATGTGTTAAAATGTCCTTCATGTTTCATGTAATAAACACAATATAGTCCATATATTTCGAATCCTGTATCTGACTGCAATTCATCCAGTAAGGCTTTTTTTAACGATTGAACATTACACTCAAAATACGACCTAATGTTTTCCAGATTCACTCGTTTTTGAAATGACAAATTCTCTTTGAATTTTTTCCGATGTACACAAGGTTACGACATATTTATTTAGCATCTCAAATCATAGTTATTCATTTTAAAACTTGAATTTGTTCCAGTCATAAGGCGCTTGTGTTGCACGATGTTTTTTACGTATTGGAGTATTGGTATCTACCATTTGTCGCTTTGCATTACTTTCCTTTTGTAAACGCTTCAATTCTGACTTGGCCATTTCAACGGCTTGAGCTACAGGTGTCACTAGATGAACATTGGGTGTGTTTTCACGTTTTTCCATTTCGGCCATTTTTCTATGCTTAGCACCACTGCCTACGATGTAACGACCTTGAAAATCACGTTCAGCGTAACCGTCCCTTATATCTTTGAAATGTTGATACCATTTCTCTGGATCTGAAATATACGGTACCCATTTTTGCTGTTTAGCATCGTACACTTCTATAGAACCCATTGTGTGATTGAAAACATATAAATGGCAATCCTTCTTACAACGTTTCTTCCGCGTCTTGATCGTTATCGTTATCATTGTTACCCTGCATTGGATCCTTTTCTTTGATGTCATGATTGGGCCATACTGTATCGAATAGCTCTTTACGTAACATAATGGCTTGTCGAATAGATTCCTTGCAACTCATATCGTGTTCACGTCTGAGTTTCTTAGCCGACTGGAGAATCTGTTGTTGATTAGGATCTTCTTGCAACTCGTAAAAGTCTATTAGAAATTGACCGTACTTTTGTCTTAGCCTCTTTCTTAATTGAGGTAATTCGTCATTAGCAGCGCGATGGTAAGCCTCTTCAAAAGTATGGCCATCATCTATATACGCCTGTACTTTAGTTTTAAATAGCTCCACATGTGATTGTCTAATTGGTTCTTTAAACCGTTTTTCCCATATGTTAAGACGCATGCGTTCTTCTTTGAGCTCCTCCCTTCTACGTTTGCCTGGGGGTCCACGGAATAGAAGACTTTTCTTTATTTTTTCGTTCTGAGTATCTCTATCATTATCATCATCATCATCATTATCATTATCATTATCATCCTTATTATCATCATAATCATCATCATCATCATCATTATCATCTACAACGGTAGCATTTTCATCATTATTGTTAGACGAGTGTCTATCGCCACTTAAGTAGCTATAATCATCATCCGTTAGTTTTCTCTTCTTGATAGTGTTAAAGTAAAAAAGGTTATCGCGTAAACGCTCTTGCTCCGGAGTACTCGATTTCAGGTCTATTACTAAATAGCCATGTGGTTTTGATGTTGCCTGTTCGAACCGTTTCATAAAGATGAAACTTGAGGTGGGGTAAATTCTCGTCGCTAGCGTTGCCACTTGTTGTCTGTCAATAGGATTATTGAACAATATCAGATACTGCGTATTTAAAGCGATATCTCTGCAGGCTTTTCCTCGAGGGAATAAGTTTTGAGTGAGATAAATGATAGATATGTTTCTGTGATGACTGCCCTTGGTAAAAAGATCAGCAATTCTTTGATCGCATTTGGCTTCTGTCATTAAATCGTCAAAAACAATCAAGTTCCGTTTATGGGTATTGATGTACTTTAGACTATTTAAGTAGTCGGGAATACCTCGTACAAATTCTATCCAGGGTATTTTACGCCGAAGTTCATCGTACAGAGGCTGCCATTGTCCATAACACCATACGATGCGCTCTGGTGGTGGATTTACTAGACTGGATAAAAGCAGTGTTTTAGTCCATTCAGTTTTTCCACTACCACTAGGCCCGGAAACGACCATAGAAAATGGGTGTTGAAAATTCATCTTTTCTGAAGTGTCCACATGAGTGATTTGTTGCGATAAATAATCACTTTTAACAATGTCATCACTACCATGTACATAACGTTGATGTCTCAGCATGACGTTACGTCTTGAAAAAGACTGCTGGCAAATTGGACACCGATTCATTGTACAACAAAATGTTTGACATATATATTGGAACAGTTATCCTTCTTACGATGCACACACAACACCGCCCGCCGCTGCCCCACCACCACCGCCGCCCCCGCCGCCGCCGCCCCTCCGCCACCCGTGAATACGTCCAATAACTTTAGAAATATGTTGTCCATTTTCGTGAACCAATTTTTTCATATTTTTATCGGAAACAGGCATTGAATATAGAAAATAGGGGTGTGCATACTTTACATGAAGCAGTATATGTACAGGTAACAATCCATTCTTTCGCCCTATTTCTTTTGCGCGTGGATACCATACATTAAATAGTTCATTCATTCTTTGCAAACACTTGCGTTGAAAATCGACCTCAATACGGTCATACACACGGAATGGAACACCCATGCTTACTGCCAACATTGACAATAAACTAGGTACCGCGTTCTTTAAAAAGTAACTTTGCAGTTCTAACCGAGTATTAGGTTCCTCCGTAGTTTTTGAGCTTACTGTAACAATCGCTTTTTCTATTTGATCAATTGCTAACAAATCTTCTGAGGTATACTCATCCCCGAAAATCATCTAAATCCATACTGATATTTAAAAAAATTTAAAGACTGAAAAAAAAACAATGTTTCTCGTTAAACTTTAAAAATCCGAACGATCAAAATAATGTTAATGCGTTGTTATATACTTTCCACAAAGCCTTTCCTATTTTTAGAAAAGACGTCATGTTTAATTTCATTGGTTCTATTTTGATATGTTTAACCTTATATTAATTTAAAAGTAAAATACAATGGTTTTGGTTATTCGTAATTTGTAACATTTTTACTGAATACATTATTTATAATAATAATAAAGCTAGTTTTAAATATTCAAATCAAGCTTTTTTTCCATCGTCCTTATTTTAAAGCCATGTTAAAGTTTATTTTATAAGTACCGGGTTGATCAGGATTTTCAATGCATGCAAAGCGAGTTATTGTTAAAATTTCCCATATTAGTGTATTTGTTATGCATTGCCCCCAAGTTGCCGCAAAATTCATCAGCTGACTTTCATCAGTAAAAGTATTAATCAAAGTCTCAAAATACTGCGGCAAAGGTGTTTTCCATGTTTCAAAATAAAAACGAGTGGCTCGTTCGCTTTCATTTTTATTTCTATGTCATTAATGGCCTTCCATACCCTGCGAAAATATATTTACAAAATAGCGCAAGAGATCTAAATATAATTATATTATACAAAGGAACCCTTATACGAAAAATATTTGCTTTCAAGTAGGTA